TTCCTGTCGGAAGGTTTATTCTGAAATCCAGGTCCGGTTTGGCTTCCCCTTCTTTTATATGGCTTGACACAGACAAAGCAAGTCTGACCTACACGCCTTGGGTCCCTCTGTGTGGACAGTCCTGAATGGATTTTCTACGAGAAACCCCAAATACCTGGACAAGGTGACAGATCTCACCTTTAAGGTAAAGCTGGCCCTCTCTGTCTGGGGCTGGGCATTTGTCGGCTTGGCCCGGTGACTGCCTGGTGGGGCTCARGTCCTCTGGTCCTGTTGGGCCATGGCCTGGGGAGGGTCCTTGGGGCCCAGTCCTCTGTGCCCTTGCCTGGATCTTCCTTGGTGCGGTGGGCTCCGGCGGGGGCCTACGGGTTGGTCGCTGCTGCCCCCGGGGGTTCCTGCGTGTGGCTGCCTGTGGAGCTCTTCTGGTTCCCGCCTGTGGTCCAATCTGGGGGGTGGGTGGGTAGTTCGGCCTGCGTGGGTGACCCTGGGGGCTCTGTGCTCGGGGTCACTCTTGGGGTCTCAGGCTCTGGCTCCCCTCTTTGTCTGCCTCGGGTCTTGGGGGCTGGGTCTTGGGCTCTTCTCAGTCACTATTAAATATTCTATTGGAGAAACCTTGGATAGGTATGCATGCTCATAACACATAAGGGGGTGTGGGGATAAATTTGTACGTATAAAACATCCAGGCATGTATGTAGATGTGGGTGAAAATATTAGTATGTCATTATGTATATACAGTATGTCTGTGCGGTTATTGGTGGGTGTGGATGTTATGGGGGTGTCTTGTGGTTTTATTGAGTATATTTCATACATTTGTAGTTTCAGCTCTTTTCACTTTTCTTATTTTCTTTCTTATCTTCTCACTTAAAAAAGAGAAAAGTCACTGATGATGAAGAAATAAATAAACTAAATAAACTAATAATATTTGGTTTCTTTTTCTACTGAAGTGACAAAAAAATGTAAACCTGGCATGTGTTGTGAACTTCACTGTCTGGCTGAAYGCCGAGTAGAACTCGCCTATCTGGTTAAACCCCACATTTATTTAAGTTAAAGTTAGGAAAAGCTAACACCTTACTTTCCTCCTTTCTTGAACTCTTCCTTGCCAACCCTAATTGCCTCAAATTGTCTGGTATTAAACATCAAAGCTTGACGTTTGTGTTCCATTTTAAGTGTTTATTGACAATTTAAGAAGCTCGAAGCTTTTGTTATTGTCGGTTCTAAACTTTTATAGGAAATTAATTGCTCACAATTAAGTGTACTTTAGTGATTTTGTATGATTTGTAAAATAAACTATTGCATTTTTATGGATCAAATCAACATTCACTGATTGAGAKTCACTTCTTGTGTCCATTCATTTTGCACTGGAGGAATATTTTACAGAAAAGAGATCCCTTGCTAAAATAATATTTCCTTATAACTTGTTATAAGAGTGTAGGACTGAACTCTTACAACTACATACAAATCACACTTCCTGTTAGTAAAAAGATAGTTTGAATGTACAATTAAATATTTATGTCATGACATGTAGGTGCTTGTCTCAAAGCCCACTAATAGTTAAATGTTGTTTAGCAGTTTGCACCTTGGCTATACACTTCTGATATAAAAAAAAAACATCTTCTGGTACAGTTCTGGCTAAATTGTGGACCACTCCTCTTGGCAGAATTGGTGGAGTTCATTCAAACTAGTTGGGTTTACTTGGAACAGGCCTGACCTAAGCACACTTACATATCAGACAGGTATGGACCAGATCTGGCACTGCTGGCATACAAAGTGGCTTGCCARCCATGTGTGGGCTAGGTCTGGCAATGATGGCATTGTTCTTAAACATTCTAACTATTTTGATTACCTGATGGTGACAGATACATATTGGTCAATCCAATAAGTGCTGCTAAACAAACCATGTTTGTGCTGGCAAAAAGAAAATGGCTGCAGTCAATCCTGCTCACTAACAAAAAGTAAATAAGATAAGATAAAACTTTATCGATCCCACAGTGGGGAAATTTGAACATTACAGCAGCTCAAAACAGTGGAGTTACAGTAACAGGCTGCCTGCTGTGGCGCCAACTTAGAAACAAAGAAAAACATACAAGGGAAGTGATATGATTTACAAAAAAGTTCAACAGTCAGCGGAACTAAGAACCAGACCAGGAGACAAAAATAAAAAGGTAAGTGCTTTTTATTTACAGGTGCAGGGTAGCGGGTCATCAGCTGTAAGGGAATGAGGAGATTATTTTTGAAAGGTTCAGTCTTTCTTTTCAGAGATGGTTTGAATGTTAATTAAAGTGTTTCTTTTCTTACTGATCTTCTGGAGGTGAGCAGCACAGAACGGAGGAGGAATCCAAAAACACAGGTGAGTTCCTTTTAGGCAGCGTGGCATAAACATGAAGAGGTGTTCGTGGCATTTGACTTTGGCAGGAGGTAATGATTGTCAAACCTGATTGGAAGTCTATTTTCTTTGCACGCACAAGGAGAGGAACCGTCAGTGAGGTAAATCCACCTTAGGAAACAGGACATGAAGGTAAGTACAATCTTCTGAACTTAGAAACTGAGTGTGGCTTGGATACTACCAGAATGGTAAGATGTATCAGTGAAGATCTGACAGTCAAGATGCCTAATAAAGCCTCAGTGGCTCATTAGGAGAATCTTCCTCAGGTGTGCAGTGGTGCAGGAAACAATGAGGCAGCCAATCATCAAACATGAACACCAATTGCCAATCATAACAGGAAGATGAGGAAAAAAGCAAAAACATCATATTATATCAATACTGTGACACTCTATGGCATTTATGAAAAACCTCTGCATAGAGCAAGTTATTAGCCAGAGGAGTAAGTGAGTTTTAAGGGGGCCTGAAGAATCCAGTCCCCCAGAACCAGCGCAGCCATAGTCCAGAAATTGATGGAAACTGTTCATTCTGTGCAGCTTTCAGCTTTCTCTGGAAAAACAGATTAGACGGGTGAGAGGAGGGGGGAGGGGGACAGAGCCTTTTGTCGACACATCCAGCCAGGAAGAATTTAGTCAACAGATCAAGGCCRTTGTCGGGGAGATCCAGATTCTGTAATCAGTTGTTTTGGAACAGAAAAGACAAGCAGACGATAACAATTTTCCACCTGCTTTAGAGTTCCTGCTGGTATATCTCAAGGTGGTGAATCCAATCAGACAAATAATGTGGACAAATTCCGCCGAGCCGATCTATCAAGATTCCTCCCAGATGAATTCCACCTGGCCAGCAAAGTCCAGGGACCACAGCGGGCCCGCAACCCTCAATAGAACACTTGCAGACGAGTCTGGCTCACTCAAGGCAAATAGACATTGGTCTTGTGAAGTTAAAAATATTCTACAACAGCTGTCCACAGTCATAGTCCTCAAAGACCACTATGTTTTCTTGCTTTGAGGCATGTGTTCAAGTTCTGCAGAATCCTGTTCTTTAGAGAAAGATCTGAAAAGTAGCGGTTTCTCAGTCCCACATAATAGAAGATYAAACCAAGACTCCATCAGGAATGACTCCCAACTGTAGCATTTTCCTGCATATAAATAATCATTTCTGATTAGATTTCACTTGTTCCTATGACAAYGGCTCAGGAAGGAAGAAAAACCCCCACTTTGWCTTCAGACTATTTTCTAAAGACTTTTGCATGGAACTTYCTTTGTGGCTCGAATTAACATCTCTYAYACAAACCCCCACCAGACGTCCTGACRCCTTACTGTTAATAGATAAGAATTGCCACATTCCTGTTCCGAACCCCACAAGTTCTGTTGCTTCCATCCCCCATAAGCACAAGACTGTTGGCTCCTCTTCAAAGGGAACATAAATGGCTTTAACCAGACTCTTCAGTGACTGGGAACAAAGGACCTACATTCTTCATTAAATGTGAAAAAAAGGAGAAAAGATAAAAGAATCTGTGTATCTAATGCTTTCTGTCTTATTGCAGAGAATGTCATCTAATCCATTTTTCTTACATAAAAGAACTAAAAAGACCATAAAGGATCTACTAAGTTTTGCTTAGTTAACTATTCAATAGCTGTGTGTATTGTGTTTAACTGTTTACAGATGGACTCCTGAAGAAGATGTTTCTTTGATTTCATGATTTTAAACAGTGTGTTTTGTTCCATGATTTAATCCTTAGAAACTTTAGGACTTGAATCTTTAATTAAAAGTGTGACACTCTTATTTTACTGAGGCAAGCAGATGTCTCTCCCTTTAATTAGATGCAAGATAATTAAACTAAACACTCCCTTTTTTTTTGTCCTGAAGTAGTTTTCCCTCCAAAACAGATTTAATTTGTTAAAAAAAACTTTTCCTGTATAAGGTGTAACATTTTTATTGGCCAACTAAAATCT